AACCTTTGTTTGGGGGAAATGGTCTTATTTTTTTTTTTTTTTTTTTTTTTTTTTCTTTTTCATCATGCGTGACTGAAGGAAAAAAATTTAACTGTGTGTACCCAGATTTAAATTTAAGCTAAATCTACAGAGAAACCCCACTGAGGATTATTTTTTGTACCTATTCAACTGTGTGGCCTTCATATAAAAAGTGTTAAAAGCATATGTAAACCCTACATTTCTTTTTCATTATGTTTGGAATCATAATGAAAAATAATTGTAGGGTTTTCTTAAGCAAATGTTTTTTTGAGAAACGGTAGCAAAGTTCCTTACTTGGAGATCCTGACAGTGACAGTCACAGCACTTTCTGGCTGGCTGACAATACTACTGCATTTTTTTCCTTCAGTCAGTGAGGCATCGGCTTATCGTTGTGAGTGTCTTGTGTTCTCCTTCAGTTGGCTGTTGGGCTGCCTGGCTGATTGATCAGTCAGATAGGCAGGCCAAAGGCCAACTGAAGGTGCCCATACACTGTGCGATTATCGCACGATAATCGCGGGAAATCCCGTGATCGTACGATAATCGCAAAGTGTATGGAAGACGTGCAACCGTTTTTACTGTACGGTCGCACATCTTTTGTCTAAGGAGCATGCTAGAAAACCAGCCGAGAATCGTACGATTTTCGGCTGGTTTTTAGCATGATCGTAAGATTAATGCCGCACGGGCCGGTGTGCGCACGCGCAGACTGCCCATTCAGCATTGCGGTCATCGGAAGCCCGCCCCTCAGGGGGGCGGGCTTGCGATGATCGCAAGTACGTTCTGCCTGTCCAAGATGGGCAGATCGTATGTTTTTTTAATTACTTTACAACCATCGCAAGACTAAGGTCTTGCGATAGTTGTAAAGTGTATGGCCACCTTTAGGTAGCACATCCAGCAGGCTGAAAATGCAGCTGCTAATTACAAGGTAGCACCTTGGCATTGTTAGCTTGCAACAGGAAGTGCTGCTATTGGCCGTATCTCCAGGTAAAAAACTTTGCATCAGATTGACAAAAAATGATTTGCTTAAGAAAACTGCACACAGTGAATCACAATGGCAAACATACTGAAAAATAGATTTTGGGTTTCATTGCTTTGTAGATTTTAATTTAACCTTGGCACTTGATAAAAACAACTATTAAATAATTTAAGAATCATCCACTTACATAATTGGCACATTAGTGGGTTTTGGCTTTAATTACTGAATCTATTAGGCAAAACTTTTAGTTTTGCCTAGTGGGCAAAAATATGTTATTTTCCTTTTCCCTATTGGAAACATGTCTTCTCCCTTCCTGTCTGGGTGACATGAAATGATGGGAGAAGAATTCTTCCACAGTGCAACAGACAGTAGCGAAATTTGACAGAGGTTCTAGCTTCCCCCCCAATATTTGTAAATCAAATAAACATAAGTTTGTAGCAAAATCTGTGCCCCATTGGCCTCACTGCCTTTCAAATCATTAGGAGGAGTTGACGGACATCACCAGGGACATCATCCCATTAAAAGGTTATGATATGGAAGAACAAAAAATATGTATTGCTACAGTCTTTCTGTATTTTCCCTTCTATTTTTCCTTCATCTATAGGTGATAAGCACCTGTTATAACATCATGTTTGTATGGAAACTCATTTTGCTTTAAATTTCCTCCAGAGTTTTATAACCTTTCAGCTCTGGTGATGGATTTCTAGCCATTCCTTCAGGTAGTGTGCATGTCTGTTAGTTTTCTTATGTGTGCTTATTTCCTGAGGTCAAGCTCTAGAACACCATTGGATTTAGGTCAGGGAATTGGGACAGCTATGTAATGGTTTTTTTAAGGCAGTGTAATGGTCCATGCACTGAAGTTATTTATAAAGCTTACGTTTATGACATATATAAGTCTTACTTTTTGCTGGTCTTTTTTTTTTCACAAAGGTCCATCTTTAAAAATCTATTGATGTATGGGATTGAAGCTCTGCTCTAGTGAAACTGGCTACTAATGCATACAAAATTTCTTGTGATAGACTGGCACTCGCAAGAGAACTGTATTGTAAATTGGAAAACTTGTTTTCACTGAAAGCACATTTATTTTAACTCCAAAAATGAAAAATAGCAATTTAAATGTTTTAGAAAATTCATTAGAATAATGTACTGAGCACTTTTTGAAAATAAATTATGGCCAGTGAAAGATTTAACAAGCTGTAGCATTGACGGGAATTTTTTTTTTAGGTCTAAAGCCGATTTATTTTTTATTTTATATTTGGAATACGGAAGGATCAGAAACCCTGTCATGTAATTACTGTTTGTTTTTCACTGGGGAGAGTCACACTCACTATTTGTCCTGGTGATCATTGATAGAAAATCAATCAGCAATGGCAGTCTATATTTCCTGACAAGTGTAGTTGCACTTATATTTTACTGTTCACAAACTCCACCCAAGTTTTGGTTCCAGTATTGGAAGGGATCAATCCTGTCCCATTGAAGAGAGTTCCTGGAGTGAGTGGAAATGTTTAGAAGATGAGGGTAACTTCCCTCTTGGTTGTCACCAGAACCGGTCTCCCTATTACCGGATTTACACTCGCCTTTTCTGGTAACAACTGTACAATTTTGGATTTCCCATCACTTTGTGTCAATGACAACCATCACCTGGACAATTAGGGAGGTAAATATACCTAGTGGGGGACAGAGAGCAATAAACAGCTGATAGAGGTTCTAAATCCTTTCCCACTCCACTCCATTGAAAATGGAAAAAAAGGTTTGGCTACAAATACACTTGTGTTGATTTAGTTTAGCATTTTAGAGCCCATTCACACCATAAGGCTGTACACTGCAACATATCTCAATGCATACAAAAATGAAGTCATCCACAATTTTATTCTGAGCAGGGCAATACAATACATTGTAAGGCATCTGTGCTGCACTATAATACATGTGTGTTGGAGTGCAATTCATTTTGCATTGCAGCACACCTCAATGAACATCTACAGTGCATTACCATGTGTTGTGGTAACACGCGTTCCAGTGTTAATGAGCCCTCAGATTGAATCTTAAGTGTTTGGGTTAGCGGTGTGGGTAAAAGATAAGAGAACAAATATTAGAGCATTTCTGCACTTTCATAGCATGTTCTTGCTGTTTTGAGTTAGGTATACAAAGAAGTGAACCTTGAAATTTCTGCATTGTCTAATTGGTATTTCAGGAAGAAGTTCCCAGCACCCCGGTGGGAAAGGCCAGTGCTCCCTTGGAGGACCTTGCAGAGTCATTCTGCAAGGAGGATAAGCACAATACAATTACCCAGTTCAGTGATTGCAATTTGATGCCAGCTCTGTATTTCTAGTAGACCTGTTCAGCTGGTACAGCGCATTATTTTGGAATATGCTCATTTACCACCATGGAACAGTCCATATTTGACACAAAGTTCACCTCAGCCAATTAGCGGCAAGCTAGTATCTGATCAGTGGAAGCTGAAAAAATACTCTTATAAAAAAATACACTTATAAGTAAGCGATCTGCTTGGTATCCTAAAGTAAAGAGTAAACCCCTTATTTTGTGGATCTGTGAGTGAAACCTGCAAATACCTTCTGATTTAAAAAAGGCTCTACTGCGTGTCTCACTAATTAGGTGGGAGGCTTATTGGTTCCTATTAGCCCACCTCACCATAGCATGCCTGGTTGTTTCCCTATGGCTATGGTGCAAACCTTGTATGTAATTGTGTGTTAACAAAGGCATTATGACCTAAGACAAGGGTAGGAAACCTCAGCTGTGGTGTAACTACAAATCCCATGAGGCAATGCAAGACTCAGACAGTCACAGGCATGAGGCAAAGGTATGATGGAATATCTAGCTTCATCACCGCTGTTATTCCGAGGTTGCCTACACCTGATCTTAGCTCACTTTTAAGAACTAATACACAATAGTTTCTAGTATGACTTGGCAACATAAAGCCCAACTCCAGCCAGAACGTATTATTTCATTTGGATAGAGCCGGGATAGTTTAGAGCCTGTGTCAGGTTTTTATTATCATTTGTGTCCCTACTGGGGAAATTCACCTGAAATTCACCTTATATTCCGATCGGGGGAAAAACACAAATGCATTTTTTAGTAGTTAAAGGTTAAAATTTCTGACTGAGCTTTGTTGCCATCTGTACCTTCCTGTGAGAAAACTGCACCCAAGTATATTTGACATAGGTTTCACTGACCAGAGCTCATACAAAACAACTTTGATATATGATCTAAAGATGCTCAGCCAGATGAAAATCAAGATTTCCACAAGAAAGTTCATATACATATATCTGAATGTTTATACTCGAGTAATCTAAAGTATCCTAATGCTAATATAAGCAATATAGAAAATAAAGCAGCTTACATGATTCATCTGTATTTATTTAGTGGTCTTCAGTACTGTAGTTCTTTAATTATATTCCAATGGAAAAGTATGATCGTGTTTGAGATGGGCAGCACTGCTTTGACAGAAACCCTGTTGTATCATGTGAGAAAAGCACTTTTCCCTGTCCATTTCTCGGGTATAACATGCTAAAGAGGAGTGCCAGACAAATCCAGTTTGTGTATTTCAATTCTTCCTTGTGTGCCTATCACTGACATTATCTGGTCACCTCAGTTGCAACTGGCGCTTAGTAGAGGTGGTCTTAAAATGCCTAATACAAATATTAATTATGAAAAAAAAATTGTGAATCAGATATTGATTTTTATTTTCTATTCTGTTACAAAGTACGCCATGGCCCTCCAGATTGCTAAGTATGTGATTTCTGCATTGTGTTCTTTTCTCCAGGAACTTGAAGACCTCAGGAAACAAAGTGAAGTGATCCCACAGCTGATGATGGAATGTGAATCTGTGACTGATAAGTTACAGGTAAGCAAGATATATGGCGCCCGTCTGACATGGCAGGGAGGCCGATGTACACAGAACATGCTACTCATACCTCACCGGTTTTACAGCTTTGATTGATAACTACAAATTTTAGGACCTTAATTTATACTAAGCTGTAGCCACTAGGTGTGATACTTTTTGGACAGTTCAGCTTCAATTTCTGATTGATGTGTACAGATTAGATTAGGCTCACTTGCCACACACACAACATATGATTGCGACTGTATATTGCAAAAAAGCATGGATAACAGGCATTGCCAGTGCCGGGTGATGGTAGTAACTTCCAGCATATTGTTGCAGGGCGCTCCAGGAGCCTCTACTGTATACCCCTGGGGCACCAGGGATATACTGTTCTGGTTTTATATGATCATGTCTTCCACACAACAGGGCAGCTCTTAAAAGGTAACTGAGGCTCTGCTTGGCATCGTGTGATACATTTAGAGCAATCCTTGGTTTAGACTTTTACCTAAAGTCAAAATATGCATACTGCAAAAGCCCTAGTATTAGGCCCTCCCAGAGGATCCTACATCATTAGATCAGCAGTTATTAAGCTGTGCTTATTGTACACATTTTTATATTTAGTTGTGTGGATTTGGGGACAGATGTAAAAGATGTCATTTAATTGTTAATACTGCATGCTAATTATACGTATCGGAAAAGATTCATTAAGACATCCTCATGGGACTTTATGCTTGCAATGAAAATTTGATCTCTAAATCTTCGGTCTCTGGTGCTAGATGCCTCGTAGACATTTTTGGCAAACTAAACTAAAAATGCATAATACATCTGTTCAGTTTTTTCCTCTGACCAAAATCCACAATCTATTTTTAACTTCAAATCAGATTTTGATGACTTAATCTTTCCTTTTCGTACATGGGTATCCGTTCTTATTTAATCATTAATGACCTTCAATAATTCAAGACCAGCAGGAAAAGGTGACTTTCAGCTAATACATTAATAAGGGTTGGGGCTTAATTTTCTTGTAGTAATGTGGTATAAGGCTTGTTGGGTTTTGTCATTATGAATATCACTTTGCTGTTAATAACAGAATTTCACACCTTATTCCTCACGAGAAAGCCACTTATTTGTATCCTTGAGATGACATATTCATTTCCACTTGGAAAATTAATATGTAGATATGTAAAAAAAAATCTCTTTCTCTAAAGATGTCTCCATCTTTATGACTAGAAAAGCCAATTGTTTACAGCTTGGTTTGCATAAATTTCTTGAATAACCTCCACATCATATTTGTTTTCAGGTGATAAATAGTACCGAGGATAATTGCATGGGGCTGGGCTAATTCTGGGGTGCTTGTTTATGGAGATGGACATCAGCCCCTATTTACGTTTCCATTTACACAGTGGCAACGGGACTTGCAGTGTTGCTTGTCCTTTCCCTTCAGTGTCTCCCGGACTGTCCCAACAAGCTGGATGCATTGCACTTTAAATTATAATCATACTGGGGTTTTCCACGCATTACCTCATGTTTTATTAGAGACTAACTATGAAATAAGATAGTTGTCACATCTGCCTTTCATCAGTCATGAGTATGAAGGGTGGAGAACCCCTGTATATGTAGTGGTATAACATGTTGCCGCTAATTTACATTACAGTGATGCTGCTGGTGCTGCCCATATTCCTGCTACAGGAGATGCTGACATTCAGGGTGCTCACAGGAAGGTGGTACCACCAGGCTGTATTCAGCTCAACCCAGAAGCTCTGCCAGTACAGCCAGTGATGCTTAATACGTTGGCCACACTGCTTGATTTGTGGTTAATAGCCTGGAAGATGGAGCCTAATAATGCATCGGGTTAGGTGGGTAGGATGCATAGATGGCTGTGGCAAAAGTTGGAAAGTTTACCAGACTTGGTGCAGTTCAATTGTAGAGCACTGCTTCATGGATGCAGTCCTGTGGAAGGGGACAGATGATGGGACACAAGCTGCTCTGGAGAGTGCATGCTACACTGCTTTGATGGACTTTTATACTACACGCAGCATATGTACTAGCGGAGTGGCCCCTAAAAGGAGAGTAGTCCAGTTTTTCTATAGTAGTTGAAAGCCTAGATCTGTGTAAATACTGGTATGCCTAGGCACTATGCAGATGCTTGCAATACTGCAGCTCAGCTACTCTACTTATTGAGCAAGCATTCACATCATGCTGGCACGGGAAAATCTATAGAACGACCATGGTAAAATGTACTCCTTTTTCACAGTAGCAGATCTACCATAAGCTGAGACTGGAAACCTGCACATTGTTCCACTTGTACATGTACGACATCTGAATCACAATATATTGCCACCTTAGCACATGAAGAACAATGTGTTATGGTCCTGTTTATTTAAGACAATCTCTTTATTTAAAACATTTTGCCAACCATTAACTCTATGTATTTGTGTAATATATTTTTATAACAGATGTGCTACTTCTTTAGAATAAAGAAAATGCTGAAGGATAAAAATTAGGATTTTAGGCTTAAATTCCTCAATTGCAGTGCACCTGAGCTCTGTTGAGTGTAAATCAGCACTGAGGAATAAGCATTGAGGTTCCTCTTTAGAGATCAATGGCTACATCATTAATAAAAATCACTACATTGTCACAGTGGCGAATGTCAAACACAGGTTAGGGTCTATAACACCTTCCATAATATAAATATGGCCGGTGTTATTTAGAACCAGATTATTCATTTAAGATTGGACAAGCCAGATGTATGGAAATAGTCAGCAAATGCAACCCAGTCCAGTATCTTAGCATGAGAAACAAGCCTGATAAATGTTATTGTATTTTTCAGTTTTGGATAGACTGGGGCATTACTGCTATCCGATGTTCCATTGGAGAGATTCAATTCCTGTCCCAATGACAACGTTTTCACCAGCAAGGAATTGAGGGAAAATCTACACCAACAACACAGGCAGAAATTTCCTTTAGAATTACCAAAGCTATTTTATGCAAGGACCCACTCAACATATTAATTCAATTAGTATCCAATCGGCCAGACACTTGTGCTACGTAACTGTCAGTAGAAATAAAGATGATTAACAGAGAATCAGATGGCAGTAAAACTGGCAGGGGTTCTAATCCTTCCCCTCCTTATCCAAAACGGGGAAAAAAATGTTTTGTCTGTTTGTACACTTCAACCAAAAAACCTGGCAGGCACATAGTGCAGAAGTTAAAAATACATATTAGAACATGTTTATAGCCATTATTCTTGCTCCGCATTTCATAGATGAGCTGGTAGGAATCCTGGCCAAAAAAAAGCTGGTATTTCATGGACAAATAGGTTTCTTTCCTTTGCTTCATGTGTAAATCATGATGATGCCATGGTGAGGGTGGCCACTGAATCAGCTTGGCTCTCTGTGACTCCCAGTGATCTAAAGCAGGATGAGCAAAGACAAATTATTCTGGGATCTGCTCATTTACATATAATCAGCTTTTTCAATGGTAGAATCTAAAACAAATTATGAATTATTTATATTTCAGGATTTTAGTAGGTCTGCCATTATTAACTATAGAAAATATTTTGGTTAAATGGGAGTTATTTTTTTAAGTTATGAATACAGTAATGTATATCTCAGATTCTATATGCATTTATTATTTATGAATTATATTAGCAGCCCCCTTATACTGCTCCTTAAAGGAGAACTATGGGGTTAAGGCTTTTCCCCATAGTTCACCTTAGGGTAACGGGAGGACACAAACTAGCGTCCTCCCATCACCCTAGGCTCAGCATACCGCGAGCTGTAGCATGCAGTATACTGAGACGCCGCAGCTGAAGCGGATCCCGACAATTATGCTGGGAATCGCCGAGCTGCGTGACTGACAGCTGGCTCTGCCTATCTAGAGGCAGAGCCAGCTGTACCCTCCCCCGTCCGTTCCGCCAGTCAGCGCTGGCGGATCGGAGGGGGGAATCCAGCCCCTCCCCTGTCACGGCAGAGAGCCGTGACAGGATCGAGAGGTGAGCGAACGCCGGTATGTGTTCGCTCACCTCCTGATCTACTGAGCCGACCTGTGACAGTCTCATTGTCACAGGTTGGCTAGAACTATGAGGCGAGTGCTTTTCAATCATAGAGGTGGCATTAGCCAAAGAGCTAAATGCAGATGTTCCATCAGTGAGAAACTGGGGAAACATAAGGTTAGATTATAATTAGGCCATTATGTTCATGAAGGCTCACATAAGAGCAAAGGTCCTTGTGTCCCAGACATTGTTAGAGTAGAGCTGCAGAAAAATAATTTCCGCTCTGGGGTGAGCTGACATCTCTTAACGTTTTAAATGTCCTTATCTGAAAGGATGGGGGTCAGAAGTCTTGTAGCTCTACATGTGATGGTGTTAAAGTCTTCATCCCATTAGTAGACCTGGAGCATATTAACCTTTGTGTTTAGATATAGGTTAGTTTAGGTCAATGTGTAACATTTTTTTTGTCTAACAAGAACAAAACGGCTTTATATGATTTAAGGTTTGACCCCTTTACAACGTTGTCACACATTTGTGGCATCACAGAAGTGGGCTTTCCTCCATGGAACCGCTTGATTGCACACCCCCAGCATGCCCACTATTGTTTCTGGGCTCTTCAAGTAAAAAAACAACAAATAATGTAGTATTGCCATGAACGTTTGGAATAGAGAATTGTATTTATTTTTTTCTTATGGTAATGGCAAGAAATATACAGCTTGTTTCTTTATTTACTATTCTCTGCAAGTTTTACTTTTAATCATTTTGATTTAAAAAAATCAGGAGATATCTATTAACATTTACCACCAAACAAATGCCCCTTTTTGTCCTGAACAAAAGGAGGTGTAATTCATCTGAATACACCAAGTAGCTGCAAATATATTAGTTTTACTAATGCAAAGCTGCAAAACCCAAAACTGGGTTCAGTTTTTTTTTTACTGTTAATTATCAAGGTCTTAAAGGAGAACTAAAGGGATTGGGGGTTTTTTTTCCCGTTTGCATACATTTCCAAAGGGTCTCCCAACTACTGTGCAGT